AGGAAAACCGATTTGTTTTCCTGACACTATAGTGATCCTTAAAGGAACCTGCGAGTTCCATGGTTTTACGCTTCATTAACACAGACCTGTGTGTTGTGTACTCCACTGTTCTATGTTATGCTTGATTAAAAACCAAAAAAAAAAAAAATGATGTGATGGGAAAACCTCATGCCACAATTAACAGATATTAAAAAAAAAAAAAAAAAGACCCTGAAAGTAACAAAGCCGCTTTAAAGATTGGCTAGAAATAGATAGTCACTAACTAGTCCTGAGAAGAAGCAAATGTGCATTAAATTCCATGCAAAGTCTACAAGAAAGAGCATTTCATAAGGTATCTTTTTATATTTTATCTTAATTCATCATCTATAAAATGCTACTTTGTGTACATGGAAGGATTTAAAGGAACAAACATGTATTTCTAATGCAGTATCCTAACCCCTAAAAATATTTTTTTTAAATAAAAACTTACCTTTTCTCAGTGCAAAGACTCACTCAGAGCTGCCACACGCTCATCCTCCCATGATAGTCACTTTCCTGGAGTCACTTCCTCAGTGTTCGTCCAATACTTCTCATAGAAATGGGAACGATATGTGCATTTGTGAATAGAGCCACACACACGTCCAATCAAATACTGCTCATAGAAAAGCATTGAATCCAATGCATCCCTATGAACTGCACTTGATGAGGTGCAATAACATTGCTCTATCCACTAAATGGCAGTGTTTTAGATTGCAGGGACGAAACCAGAGGGCCACGGCACCCAGACCACTTTATTGAGATTACAAGGATTTCCAGTGCCCAAAATATAAATAAATAAAAATCTGAGTTTAATAGATATACCCCAATGAAAACATGCATGCATTTAATTATGCTTTTTTTCATTGCAGTTATATCTCATTACAAATTGCAAAAAGTGCATATCACTTGTCTGAAGTGACTTAAAGTTCTCCCCTTCTAACCCAGCCCAGTCTTTCTGTGACTGTCCAATCACAGACTTCTCAATGCAGCATATTAAAAAATATTTGCAATGCATATGCTCTGAGCAATGTCCTGCCTCATGAGTGTTGCTCCACTGAGCTTAACTGCCAGGAAGCAACAGGATCACTGTGTGATTGACAGCTAGGAGTGTAACAAGGTTAATTTATAAAACAAACAAACAACAAAAGAGGACACACTCGTCGCACATAAAGCAGACAAGAGATAAGACTGCAGACAGGGCATTGAGTTTTCCTCGGAAAACTCAGTACCTGCTGAAGATTTAAAAAAAAAAAAAAAAAAAGCTCTAAACAAGTGTTTTAATGGAATGGTATAGAATAGTACACTGAATTGTCTAATATCGTTTCCTTTAAAAAAAAAAAAAAGAAAGAAATAACTAACACACACACACACACACACACACACACACACACACAAACTACATCTGAAACAATAGGTGAAACATGAAAAGATACAATTTCAATGCAAGGTCAAAATAAATAAAACGGTTTAGAAAGAAAGAAAGAAAAAAAAAAGTGTTCACATATTTATATATTCCCAGTTTACAACTGCTGATCTTAAACAATAAAAGTATGTGTAGGGATACTTCCTCGCACTGCCAAAAATCCCACAAACATTTGATGAATGGTAAATACTATTTACGGACATGCATCATTCCAAGTTACGCCTACAATCTATCGTGTGAAATAGCACACTCTGCAAGATGCTTGCTAGATCCAATTATAATATTAACACAGGCCAGATTAACTGGGCCACTCAGATTAAGAACCTATAAAAAATAAATGTTGTGAACTGGGAAAAAAAATAGATAATTTAATATTTACAAAGACATCTCATTTGATCATCAGAATACAATATACATAATGAGAAACCAGAAGATCCTCGTCATTTTTTATTTTTTTTTGTAACAGTGACCCACCAAATAATGAAAAAAGTGCTGTTGCAGTAAACAATGTATTGTGGGCAGAAACCTGGGGTCTGGAAGGACAAGATAAGCCTGTCCCAACCAGGAGTTATCCACATGAATAATATGGGGTCCAATTTTGGGTCCACCCAAGTGGTTTTAAAAAAAGACCTAAAAGACACAATAGAGACCATAAAAGACACCAAAAAAGACTTAAGACACAATAGAGACAATAAAAGACACCAACAAAACACTACATTTTCAGAATTCTATTCTCCATGCTCTCCCTAACAATAATGAACTGAATTTGTACTATACACATGAACATGTTATCACAAACACAGCAGAATTTCCAACAACTGAAAGACATGCTGAACTAGAGCAGATTGCATCGCTTTAGTGCATTGTCTGGTCACACAATAGGTATGACAGCAGAATTTGTTGGTGTCGTATAAATAATTATAAAATGTTGTTCAACCTTGAGACTGGCACTTCAAGAGATATAAGGCATTATAAAGATTTGATTGTGTGGTATAAAGCAGTACACGTGGACAAACAAGCCACCAATTTAAGAGTAATCTATAATCTTTTGGGGGAGGGCGGGGGGGTGCAAATTGTAATAAAAGCAAATAGACTATTATTACAGGTGCCGGTGACTCACTCATCGTGTGTTGTAATACTGATTAACATTGAATTACAACTGAAATAAGTAAGTCCTATGTTTTGGATTGTATGAAGCCTGTGTCAAGTTGGTGGTGCCAACGGCAATTTTGGAGTGTTCCTTTAAAGTGAACCTGTCATGTCAGGTTTACATTGGCATACAAAAGCTCCCAACACATTAAATGTTTTTGCGCTTTTGAAGCTGTATAGCATTACTTATAAGATGCTTCTCACTCCGTTGCATTGTCAATATACAAAATGTACTCTTTCGTTACCTACTGTTTAATTGTACCCAATTTCTCTTAGACCAATCTCATTTTAGCAGGGAGCTCATGACCTCTCTCCTGTGAGTTGAACTTCTTTGTATGTCTTGTGAATTAATTGTACAGCGCTGTGAAAATAATGGTTCTTTATAAATAGAGCAAAAAAAAAAAAAAACAGGGTGCAAGAGAATTCTGAGAACAGATAACAGCTCCAGTAGCTTGCCATTCGGTGGGTCCCTGCTCAGATCTCCAGTTAGTCAGATCCCAGTCTGATACGCAAATGGCCTTGGTTCCTTTTGTAATGGCACAAGATGAGTTAAAGCCAGCTTGGGATCTGAGCATGGACCCACCAAAGGGCAGGATACTTGAGCTGTCGTCCATTCTCAGTAATCTCTTGCACCTTGTTTTTTGCTCTCCCCAAGTTTAAAACAAGACTCTCCTGCAGGCCTTGTGCTGTGGCTTGGCTAGTGCAGAAGTTCACTCTTAGTTGGTCGTTGCCATCCACATTTGAATGGCTAACATAGACGTTAACTTCACTTATGTTTTGTAATCCTAAAACAATTATCTCACACTTCCTTTCTAATTGACAACTTAAACATGTCACAACTGCATTCCACACAACACCTGAAAACTAGTCACACGTATGTGCCTCTCCACGAAAACATGCATCCCACTACACGCCTGAAAACATGTCACTGTTTGGTCCCACTGCACGCCTGAAAACATGTCATTGTTTGGTCCCATTCCATGCATGAAAGCATGTCACTGTTTGGTCCCACTCTAAAATAATATATCCTGCTCTATGTCTGTAACATCTCATTTATAAACACTCTGCACTAAGTACATGTGAGAGAGATTTACACAAAGAACATGCTGAGACTGTGCACACTAACAGCAGTAACAGCCCCAGGTACAACCATGCTGTCAGTGTACACGTGACAGGTATAGCCATGCTGTCAGTGTACACGGTGACAGGTCAGTCCATGCTGTTAGTGTACACGGTGACAGGTCCCTCCATGCTGTTAGTGTACAGGGCGACAGGTCCCTCCATGCTGTCAGTGTACACGGTGACAGGTGCCTCCATGCTGTCAGTGTACACGGTGACAGGTGCCTCCATGCTGTCAGTGTACACGGTGACAGGTGCCTCCATGCTGTCAGTGTACACAGTGACAGGTCAGTCCATGCTGTCAGTGTACACGGTGACAGGTCCCTCCATGCTGTCAGTGTACATGGTGACAGGTGCCTCCATGCTGTCAGTGTACACGGTGACAGGTGCCTCCATGCTGTCAGTGTACATGGTGACAGGTGCCTCCATGCTGTCAGTGTACACAGTGACAGGTCAGTCCATGCTGTCAGTGTACACGGTGACAGGTCCCTCCATGCTGTCAGTGTACACGGTGACAGGTGCCTCCATGCTGTCAGTGTACACGGTGACAGGTGCCTCCATGCTGTCAGTGTACACGGTGACAGGTGCCTCCATGCTGTCAGTGTACACGGTGACAGGTGCCTCCATGCTGTCAGTGTACACGGTGACAGGTCGCTACATGCTGTCAGTGTACACGGTGACAGGTCTCTACATGCTGTCAGTGTACACGGTGACAGGTCCCTCCATGCTGTCAGTGTACACGGTGAAACGTCTCTACATGCTGTTAGTGTACACAGTGACAGGTCCCTCCATGCTGTCAGTGTACACCGTGACAGGTCCCACCATGCTGTCACTGTACACAGTGTCAGGTATCTCCATGCTGTCAGTGTACACAGTGGCAGGTCCCTTCATGCTGTCAGTGTACACAGTGGCAGGTCCCTCCATGCTGTCAGTGTAAACAGTGGCAGCTCCCTCCATGCTGTCAGTGTACACAGTGGCAGGTACCTCCATGCTGTCAGTGTACAGGGCGACAGGTCCCTCCATGCTGTCAGTGTATACAGTGACAGGTCCCTCCATGCTGTCAGTGTACACAGTGACAGGTATCTCCATGCTGTCAGTGTATACAGTGACAGGTCCCTCCATGCTGTCAGTGTACACAGTGGCAGGTATCTCCATGCTGTCAGTGTACACAGTGGCAGGTATCTCCATGCTGTCAGTGTACACAGTGACAGGTCCCTCCATGCTGTCAGTGTACACCGTGACAGGTCCCACCATGCTGTCACTGTACACAGTGTCAGGTATCTCCATGCTGTCAGTGTACACGGTGGCAGGTCCCTTCCGTGCTGTCAGTGTACACAGTGGCAGGTCCCTCCATGCTGTCAGTGTACACAGTGGCAGGTCCCTCCATGCTGTCAGTGTACACAGTGGCAGGTACCTCCATGCTGTCAGTGTACAGGGCGACAGGTCCCTCCATGCTGTCAGTGTACACAGTGACAGGTCCCTCCATGCTGTCAGTGTACACAGTGACAGGTATCTCCATGCTGTCAGTGTATACAGTGACAGGTCCCTCCATGCTGTCAGTGTACACAGTGGCAGGTATCTCCATGCTGTCAGTGTACACAGTGGCAGGTATCTCCATGCTGTCAGTGTACACGGTGACAGGTCCCTCCATGCTGTCAGTGTACACGGTGACAGGTATCTCCATGCTGTCAGTGTACACGGTGACAGGTCCCTCCGTGCTGTCAGTGTACACGGTGACAGGTCCCTCCGTGCTGTCAGTGTACACAGTGGCAGGTCCCTCCATGCTGTCAGTGTACACAGTGGCAGGTATCTCCATGCTGTCAGTGTACACAGTGGCAGGTATCTCCATGCTGTCAGTGTACACAGTGGCAGGTCCCTCCATGCTGTCAGTGTACACGGTGACAGGTATCTCCATGCTGTCAGTGTACACGGTGACAGGTCCCTCCGTGCTGTCAGTGTACACAGTGGCAGGTCCCTCCATGCTGTCAGTGTACACAGTGGCAGGTATCTCCATGCTGTCAGTGTACACAGTGGCAGGTATCTCCATGCTGTCAGTGTACACAGTGGCAGGTATCTCCATGCTGTCAGTGTATACAGTGACAGGTCCCTCCATGCTGTCAGTGTACACAGTGGCAGGTATCTCCATGCTGTCAGTGTACACAGTGGCAGGTATCTCCATGCTGTCAGTGTACACAGTGGCAGGTCCCTCCATGCTGTCAGTGTACACAGTGCTGGACACATAGTATGACATGACCTGTATACACCTCCCTGTTACAGCCATGATCCATGTATTCCCCCCCCCCCCATTCCCTGAGCCCATGCCTGTGTCCCCCACACACACCGACCTGTGATGTAATTGGTCCATTTAAACAGAACCCCTTCCATAGCTGGCCTGAGACCGCGGACTGTCTTAGCATCCTCTCCCGGGCTCGGCGCTCCGTGACGGGCACGCTCGGCCGGCTACACTCCCGGGGCTGGGGAGGCCGGGCTGTTCATGACTGGGCCGGGGGATACTGGAGCGCCCAGCCCGGACACAGCACGTCCTGGTCCCATCCGCCGCTGGCTCTGTCTCTATCCGGCTCGCTGGATCTTCCTCCTGCTAACACTTCCCGTGCACTCCGCGCGGCCCCGCCGCCGCCCGCTCAGTCACTTCCTGCTCGGGGGGAGAGGGGTCAGGCTATGGGGGGACACTGCACAGGACAGGGGTCAGGCTATGGGGGGACACTGCACAGGAGAGGGGTCAGGCTATAGGGTTGGGGGGGCTGCTTAGTAGACAGGAGAGAGTTCAGGGTTGGGGGGCTGCTCACTGGGTAGGAGAGAGGTCAGACTCGAGGGGGGTACACTGCACAGGAGGGATGTCTGGCTATGGGGGGATGCTCACTGCACAGAGAGAGGTCTGGCTGGGGGGGCTCACTGCATAGGAGAGAGGTCATGCTGGGGGGCAACTCACTGCACATATGTCAGGCTATGGGGGGCTCAGTGCATAGGAGAGAGGTCAAGATCTGGGTGAGGGGGGCTGCTCACTGCATAGGAGAGAGGTCATACTGGGGGGGCAACTCACTGCACATAGAGAGGTCAGGCTTGGGGGGTACACTGCACAGGCAGGAGAGAGGTCAGGCTATTGGGAGATGCTCATGACACAAAAGAGAGTTCAGGTTATGGGGGGGCTCACTGCATAGGAGAGAGGTCAAGCTCTGGGTGAGGGGAGCTGCTCACTGCATAGGAGAGAGGTCATGCTGGGGGGGTGCAACTCACTGCACATAGAGAGTTCAGGCTATGGGGGGCTCACTGCATAGGAGAGAGGTCAAGCTCTGGGTGAGGGGGGCTGCTCACTGCATAGGATAGAGGTCATGCTGGGGGGGCTACGCACTGCACATAGAGGTCATTCTGGGGGGCACACTGCACAAAAGAGAGATCAGGCAATGGGGGGTGCTGACTGCACAGGAGAGAGGTCAGGCTGGGGGGGGGGGGTACACTGCACAGGCAGGAGAGAGGTCAGGCTTGGGTTTGGGGACCTTATTTCTAACAATGCCAGTATCACTCAGTCTGATCATAGAGACACTCACTCTGCTCCACCAGTCAGGGATGAAAAGTACTGCCCTGCAATAACGGCACTCTATATACTACAAAGGAGCATATCATTCATTTATCAAGCAAGTGGTTGCTTTCTGAGTATTTCATACCCATCATTCAGCAAATCAATTCTACATACCGTACTTCAGGGAAGCACTTCTCCTATACTGCCCACCAACATGCATACCTTCCAAGTGTTTAGGAGGGACATTCCTTATTTGGGACTCTGTCCCTTTTTTCTAGGAGCTCCATATTGTTGCTGTGTCTGAGTGTATAATACACACAGTCAGGTCCGGACTGGCCATCGGGCATACCGGGCAAATGCCCGGCGGGCCGCAATGGCCATGGACCCAGGCCGACAGGGGAGATTAGTGTATCTCCCCTGCTGGCCCATGCAGAGCCAGCGCTATCAGAGCGCCAGTCCTGCTGTGTGCCTTTATGGGCTGATGCTGAGATAAACTATCTCCCCACAGGAACAGAGACACGGTCGCCGGCGGGGGAGGGCGAGAGGACCCGGGGGACCCCTATCCTGCGGCTCTGCTGGGTTCCTCTCGCAAGATCGGAGCGTTGTCGCAGTTGCTATGGCAACGCTCGATCTCACAAGAGTGAATTCTACCCCAGGAACTGCAGGGTAGAGTTTACTCCTCAACGGATCACCAGGAATTTCCCACCTGACCTCCAGGGTTGGCAACAAGGTCCCCCCTCCCAGAGTAAGAAGGGGGGGTGCAAAAATAGAATAATATTTATAAAAAATAAAAAATTTATTTTTATCACACCACAGAGCACCACTCACATGCACACACTACACCCCAAACACCACAGAGCACCCCTCACATGCTCAAACTACACCTCAAACATCACACTACACCCCAAACACAACATTGCACCCCTCACATGCATACACTGCACCCCTCACATGCATACACTACACCCCAAACACCACACTGCACCCCTCACATGCCCACACTGCACCCCTCACACACACTGCTCTCCAAACACCACACCACACAGCACCTCCACACACACCCCTCACATGCCCACACTGCACCCCAAGCACACAGAGCACCCCAAACACCTCAGAGCACCACAAACACCACACAGCACCCCTGCACACACACTGCACCCCAAACAAACAGTGCACCACACACACACTGCACCTCTCAAACACACACTGCACTTCACACACACACACACAGACACTGCACTTCACACACTTACTGCACCCCTTACACACATTATATTCCAGACACAAACACTACATCCCTTATACACACACCCTAGATCCTGTAATTAACTATGGATCCTCTACACACATACACACTAGAATCTCTATACACACTCTGAAACCTCTATCTACACACACACACACACATACTAAATCTCCTACGCACACTCTGGGCTCTCCACACACACATTAGATCCCATATGCACACAATAGATTCCTATAGGCATACAATGCACCACCTACACACACTACATTAATGAAATACACAATCTGGATCCCCTATGAACACACTAGATCTCCTGTAAGCAAACACACACTACTTTCCCGAAACACACACACTTTACAACCCCTACACACACTACATCATCTATACACACATACACTACAGCCCTGTGCACACACTCGCTACATCACCTATGCTCACACTCTCTACAGGGAGTTATTCAATGACAATAAAAAGATCTCAGATCCGCTGTGTCTTGTTTTATTTTTTCAAAAATAATATTGAATAACTTTCTGTGTTGGTGTCTGGTCAAGTGAGGTAAGTGTTAAAGTGAATATCATTTTCTGACGTCCTGCTCCCATTGTCCCCATTCATACCTTATGGTTTCTAGAGTGTATGAGGGTGCTCTGAAAGCCAATTCGCACATCTTGATCTCTAATATGTTGTTTATTACCTCAGTCATAGAAGGAATAGTATCTGATTTCCAGTATCGAGGAATGACTGAGGTTGCTGAGATCCAGATATGGCGTATTATTATTTCTGTAGCTTTGGGTAAACCATCTGGGAGTTTCTTCAGTAGACACATTGTGGGTGACAAAGTCAGGGCCGCCATCAAGGGGTGACAACCGTGACGTGTAGCGGCGGAACAGCCGCCGGCGCAGTTGCACCGGGACCTGAACGCTGATGGTGCCTATCGGGTGGCCCACGCACTTAGGGCCACCCGAGGGGCCCTATATCTTCAGGTGCCCGGTCAGCACTGTGGACGTGTAATAGCGTGACCGGGCCCCTTTAAAAAAAAAATGCAGTGGCAACACAAGTGCTGCTGGGAGGGAGTGGTCACTTCCTCCCAGCTCACTCCACGCAGGAGGAGAGCCAGGCAGTGAGAGCCCTGCCGACTCCCATCATCCCCAGCCACCCTCCTGCAAAGAAAAAGTAAGAAACAGGAGGGTGGCTGGAAAATGAGCTCTGTGTGTGTGTATGTATGTATATATGTGTGTATGTCTGTATGCATGCATGTATGTCTGTCAATATATATGAATGTATGTATGTATGCCAGTATCAATGTATGTCTGTATGTCATTATGAATATATGTCTCTGTGTGTGTGTATATATGTCAGTATTCATGAATGTATGTCTGTATGTATATATGTATGTCATTATGAATGTATGTGTGTATGGATGTTAGTGTGTATGTATGTCATTATGAATGTATGTCTGTGTGTATGTGTGTATGGATGTCAGTGTCAGTACGCATGTATGTATGTATGTATGCCAGTATCAATGTATGTCTGTATGTCATTATGAATGTGTGTATGGATGTCAGTGTCTGTATGCATACATGTATGTCAATATGCATGTATGTCTGTATGAATGTATGTGTGTATGTATGTCGGTGTCTGTATATCCTTTTAATGTGTGTCTGTATGTATGTTAGTATGTGTCTGTCTGTCACTATGTATGCCTGTGTGTCTGTATATGTGTGTATGTCTCAGTATGTGTGTGTCAGTATGTATGCCTATATGCGTGTATGTCTGTTTCAGTATGTGTGTCTGTTAGTATGTATCTATGTTCTTTTGTATCAGTGTGTGTGTTTGTGTCTGTGTATTCATGTGGGTGGGATTGGAGGGGGCCTCCAGGGGCCCAGACCCTGAGCAGAGTTAGGGGCCCCAAAATTTCTGTTGGTGGCCCTGGACAAAGTTGGAATTAAAGTGGTAATGATTCCAATTAACGTGAGTATATTTTCCCGGTATTGTGTGAGCTGTTAAAGCTCACACAATACTGGCCCCCTGGAAATACATAGCATCGGGTGGCCCTAACAGCATGGGCCAACCGATGGGCCCCAGCGGTTACACCGCGCGGGCTGGGGCTGCATTACTTAGCTGGCGGGACCTGCAGTCGCAGCTGTGACCGCGGTAGTTCCGCCACTGCTTCCAGCTTAGCTTTTCAAGCTTAAAACTTTGAATTCATTTTTGAATTGGTTTGTAGTTAATTGAAAACTGAATTCACAAAATTCAAGCCAAAACATTCATGGTATGGTTATAATATACCCTCCAAAACTGGCGTTCTATGAAGCTGGATGATGGTGGACGGAGTAAAAGTGCATGAGACAGTGCTGCAAATCATGAGTGCATGCCTGGCTGCCTACCAATCAAGCCGGGTTGATGAGGATCCCTGGAGTCCAGTGGGGACTTTCTCCTTGGGTTCCAGTTGGAATCGTCGCACTGGATTCCAGTAGGGATCTTCTCCCTGGGGTCCAGTGGCAGTGGCGTACAAACAAACCATGGGGCACTGGTGTGAAAATGATCCATGGCCCCCCTCCCTATTCCACCCGTCCTCCCTATCCCCTCCCCCCGACAAACACACACACATAAAGACACACACAAAAATATAGACAAATACAAACAGACAGGCACCCATTTATACATACAGACAGACACACACAGACACATACATACAGACCGACACACAGACAGGCACACAGACACATACATAGAAGCACACACACACATACAGACAGGCACACACACATAGACACACACAAGACACATACATACAAAGACACATACATAAAAAACAGATAGGGACACATACACACAGGCAGACACACA